AAGTTGAAAACAAGTATTTGCTGTTATAAATATTGTAAATATTCATGATTCCTCTAAAAATTATGTTTTATGGCGCAACTTTTTGTCATATGTAGTAATAATATGAAAAGATGGAGGATTATTATCGAATCTAAGGGAATATTTTAAGTTAAAAATTGTTAAAAAATTGTTTTTTTTACCCGATAAATATTTTCCCAGCGCTTTATCTTTTAACTTAAGATTCATCTTCCACTAAACAATGATAATAAATATAAAATGTATTTTTTTTATATAAAAATAAATGCGTAAATTGGTTTTATGTCGCAACTTTTTGTCAAATGTAGTAATAATATGAAAAGATGGAGGATTATTATCCAATCTAAGGGATTATTTTTAGTTAAAAATTGTTAAAAAGTTGTTTTTTTTTACCTGATAAATATTTTCCCAGCACTTTATCTTTTAACTTAAGATTCATCTTCCACTAAACAATGATAATAAATATAAAATTTATTTTTTTATATAAAAATAAATGCGTAAATTGGTTTTATGGCGCAACTTTTTGTCATATGTAGTAATAATATGAAAAGATGGAGGATTATTATCTAATCTAAGGGAATATTTTAAGTTAAAAATTGTTAAAAAATAGTTTTTTTTACCCGATAAATATTTTCCCAGCGCTTTATCTTTTAACTTAAGATTTATCTTCCACTAAACAATGATAATAAATATAAAATTTATTTTTTTATATAAAAATAAATGCGTAAATTGGTTTTATGGCACAACTTTTTGTCATATGTAGTAATAATATGAAAAGATGGGGGATTATTATCTAATCTAAGGGAATATTTTAAGTTAAAAATTTTTAAAAAATTGTTTTTTTTACCCGACAAATATTTTCCCAGTGCTTTATCTTTTAACTTAAGATTCATCTTCCACTAAACAATGATAATGAATATAAAATGTATTTTTTTATATAAAAATAAATGCGTAAACCGGTTTTAAATACAAAGTCAAAATTTGATTCTACCCAAAAATCAATGAAAATGCAACAATACTGAGGTGAATTAGAAGAGAAACACTCCAAAACATAGAGTTCAAAAAATAAAGTTTAATGTTTATGTGCTGTATAACAAATAAAATATATTAGTGTTTAAAAAACAGGTGCATAACTGGGTGAAAGCCTAATCTATCACTTGAAAGAAACGGTGATCAGTGAGACGACATGCAAGCGCTCTCTTTAAAAACCCAAGGAGACGTGGAGTCATCGTAAAACCTGCAGAGCTTCTCCAATCCAGACAGAGCGCTGACTGATCTCCCAAAGAGTCCCCGCCCCCGCCGACAGACGTACAGTTACAGAGCACACGACAAAAACAACGCATTTAGGATGCAAATAGACTTATTACTTACATAAATATTGCATTGATCTCTCTGGGCGAGACTAACCTATGTGAACGGGGGTCAACAGATGTATTTACACACAGAAAGAACACTGAGCCGCCATGTTTCTACGCCTAAACATCAACAACACGTTGGAAATCTGCCATAAACACTGTTAGAGCTAAGGCTAAAAGCAGGTTCTTATACACCAGTTTGTTTTTTTTTCCTTAGTGACAAATAAGTTTACTTTTTTCTGTCGTAGCTCTACATACATGAACACTGAACCGACACCAAAAATCTACAGCAAAGTTACACCGGACACAGAAAACCCTGGCTGACAGATTAGGCTATTTGTTATATTTACAAGCTGTTGCTTCAACAACAGAAATAAACTTTTTTATTCTGATTTTTTTATTGTTTTTTTTTTTTTTTCTATCTTGCAGCTGCTAAAAACCAAAACCCACCAAACCTGTGAGTTTTAATTCTTTTACTGCATCGCCTTTATTACCTCCAACAGCAGCGTTCTGCTAAATTACAGAGTGAGACGTTCGCTGCTGTCCATCCCCGTCACAAATGACCCGTCATGATCGTGCAGGAGCGAAGACGCGGCGCTCCATCCCGCCTCAGATGTGTGAGGGTGTGAAGGAAACGACACAGAGGTTAAAAAAATGACAACCTGCTGCTGGGCTGCACCTTAACTCGGCCTCCGTTTTCCTCCACCCTCTGCTTCCAAATACCAGCAGAGTCATAAGACATTACAGGAGCATTAAAAATCCATTATGGATGCCTTCATGATTGACTCGCAGCACAAAGGTAGGACTGATTTAGTGAACTTTGCACCGAACACCCCACTGAGCACGTTAACAGTGTGAATTTTAACAAGCAGTTCCATCACATTCGCAACACATTTTTAAATAGAAGTTGTTAATGTATCGACACCAACCGATGCTTCAGCCTCCGCAGAGAGACCGGAGTTAAGATTCAGGGCCCGGCAGCACAGCCTGTCCACAGAAAGCAGCTCCCAGCCAGAGGTACCGAGTTTAAATCACACAAAACATCTGATGAAACACAAAGACCTGCAGAGCACCGAGGGGCTTCCTGATGTGCTCTCTAGGTGCTTTGGCTAATACTTTTAAAAACAAACAGGCAAATAAAAATAAATGCTATTCATGAGGCAACGTTGGTTGTTAAGGCTTTACTGTGGCTGTGCTTGCTTAGTATCCATTGATGGGTGAAAACTGCATACTGTCAAAGTGGGAGTAGAATGAAGAGGGCGGGCTGATGGAGAGGCGGGAGGCACTATGTGGAGTCTTCTGGCTCTGATTTGATGATCTTCTTCTCTGCGTTGCTGGGCGCCCGATGGGACGTCCCATTTTCTGGGGAAACAAATAAAGCACGTTATCGTCAGCATAGNCGCCCGATGGGACGTCCCATTTTCTGGGGAAACAAATAAAGCACGTTATCGTCAGCATAGGGGTTTATGACACAACAATTCCAGGAAAAACTGCGATTAATGTTCAAAAATGGCGCCCGATGGGACGTCCCATTGTCTGGGGAAACAAATAAAGCACTTCGTCAGCATAGCGGTTTATGACACAACCATTCCAGAAAAAGATGCGATTAATGTTCAAAAATGGCGCCCAATGGGGCGTCCCATTCTCTGGGGAAACAAATAAAGCACTTCATCGTCAGCATAGCGGTTTATGACAGAACCATTCCAGGAAAAGATGTGATTAATGTTCAAAAATGGCGCCCGATGGGACGTCCCATTTTCTGGGGAAACAAATAAAGCACGTCATCGTCAGCATAGCGGTTAACAACAGAACCATTCCAGGAAAAAATGCGATTAATGTTCAAAAATGGCGCCCAATGGGGCGTCCCATTCTCTGGGGAAACAAATAAAGCACGTCATCTTCAGCAAAGCGGTTTATGACAGAACCATTCCAGAAAAAAATGCGATTAATGTTAAAAAATGGCGCCCGATGGGACGTCCCATTCTCAGGGGAAACAAATAAAGCACGTCATCGTCAGCATAGCGGTTTATGACAGAACCATTCCAGGAAAAAACGAGATTAATGTTCAAAAATGGCGCCCGATGGGACGTCCCATTTTCTGGGGAAACAAATAAAGCACGTCATCGTCAGCATAGCGGTTTATGATACAACCATTACAGGAAAAAATGCGATTAATGTTAAAAAATGGCGCCCGATGGGACGTCCCATTCTCTGAGGAAACAAATAAAGCACGTTATCATCAGCATAGCGGTTTATGACACAACCATTACAGGAAAAAATGCGATTAATGTTCAAAAATGGCGCCCGATGGGTTGTCCCATTTTCTGGGGAAACAAAGCACGTTATCGTCAGCATAGTGGTTTATGACACAACCATTACAGGAAAAAATGCGATTAATGTTCAAAAATGGCACCCGATGGGACGTCCCATTCTCTGAGGAAACAAATAAAGCACGTTATCGTCAGCATAGCGGTTTATGACACAACCATTACAGGAAAAAATGCGATTAATGTTAAAAAATGGCGCCCGATGGGACGTCCCATTNGATTAATGTTAAAAAATGGCGCCCGATGGGACGTCCCATTCTCTGGGGAAACAAATAAAGCACGTCATCGTCAGCATAGCTATTTATGACACAACCATTCCAGAAAAAAACGCAATTAATGTTCAAAAATGGCGCCCAATGGGACGTCCCATTTTCTGGGGAAACAAATAAAGCACGTCATCGTCAGCATAGCGGTTTATGACAGAACCATTCCAGGAAAAAATGCGATTAATGTTCAAAAATGGCGCCCGATGGGACATCCCATTCTCTGGGGAAACAAATGCAATGAAATTTTAACTCTCCCAACAATAAAAACTGCTTGCCCCGGGCGATTGGGCGATGGTTATTATTATTATTAGATATACTTGTGAATGAGAGGTCGTGTTCGGAGAGGAAAGCACAAAACGTTACTTATAATTAGCATACACGGTCAGTTATTGACGCTGGTACATCAGCTGTTGCCATAGCTCCTGTGTAGTGTGCACGGCTGCACGAACAGCAGCTTGATGACCAAGGTTTTGTGTTTGCATAGCACCTTTTTGCCGCTGGATGCGTAAATAAGCTTCCTGGAACACAGCGTGCTGGAGTTCATGAACTGCATTGTTCCAACTCCATGTAATTCAGTTCTCTTAATCGTCACAAAGTTTCATCTATTTATTTTTTTTGTTACTTTTAACACGTCTCTCCGCTGAATAGAGCCTTAAACGGTGCAAGGTGACTTTCCCTTCAGCACCGTACCACAATCTATCTGCCGACTTAAGCAAGAAACGAGAGGAGGAGGTAAACGCTTTCCGGAACGTTTAACTTGGTGAAACGCCAGAGCCGGCGTTAATAAAGACGATGACATCACTAACCTGCTGCTGGTGTTTTGGCCTCATCTGTGCTGCTGTTGTTGTTGTTATTGTTGTGGTTGTGGTTATGATGGCGTTTCAGCTCATTGGCTAGCTGCTTGCCCAATGGGAGGTCGCCTTCTTGCATGCTCTGACTGACCACTCGCAAGTTGATTGGTCGATCATCTAGAAAACAAAAAAAGAATCAAAGACATTTTTAACGCATTAATGCCACATTAACTGTAAACACCTATCCATCTATCTCTGACTCTGATAGACAGAGTCACTAAAAGTTCAAGGGAAAGAAAAGAGGAAGAAAAGTAGAGGAAAATCGGAGGAGGAGCGAGAGACGGAGAGAGAGAGAGAGAGAGACGCCCCCCTCCAGGCTTCTGGCTAGAGGTAAACAGGCGTGGGCGCCATAATTACAGATGCATTGTGGGATTTGTGGGAACAGCGTTATAATGAGCTGTCGGGAGTGGGTGAGGGAGGAAAAAGGATGAAAATGAGATGAGGCCTGGAGGAGAAGAAAGATCTGAATAATGATGCGCCTTCTCTCTCCTCTCGTCTTCTGTCCCCCGCCGCTGTTTTTGTGAACAGAAAAGGGGCGACAGCTGCTGCTGCTGAGAGTGGAGAAGCTGCACCTTTTAGGAGGTTCAGTTTTCATCCACTCCAGCGCTTCCAGCAGGAGAGAGAAGCTTTGCACGGTTCACGCTGTTAGTTTTTATCCCTGCTCAAAGAACAAGAGCGTGTGAAAATAATGCGCAGCTGGAGGCTTTCCTCTATCTGGACAGAGGGGGCAGCAGTGAGCAAAGAAGAGGTGTGAAAAGTGCTTAAAAAAGCAGGTTATGATATAAACTTTGCTGCATTTGCCACATTTTCTGGTTTCGTGCCAAATCTCTTAACATATTCAAACACTTGTCTGTGTCTGCAGGGTTTTTTTTTCCTCCTACCTTGGCTGTCTCTGCTGGAGTCGGCGGCGGCGATTCCGTTGGTGTTCTGGGCGTCGCTGAGGTACTTCAACGCGGCCGGTGGGATCCTCCAGTCCAGAGCTTGGAGCCGCTCCTGCACGGCGGCGTCCTGCAGGATCTCCATCTGCCTGGCTAGCAGACGCTCCAGCTGCATCTGACACAGAAAATGAGAGATTCAACCGGGAGCACAGGGGGGGGGTTCTACTAATACTAGACTCCCTGCAACAGCATGACAGTATGATGATGCACATCTGCAGGTGGGTTAAACAGCTGTTCTGAGTTCTATTTAGGAGCTACATCTGGCCAATCAGAGGGCTTCTATTCAGAGAACGGCTCCAAATAGTAGAAAGCTACTAGAATGTGCAAACTTAACATGAACTAACAGCCAATAAGACTCCTGTGCTGCTCTTTAAATTAATGTATGATGTGTTTAACATTTGGGCGATCTGACAGCCAGCGGCGCTAAAACAGCCCAGTTCCTCTTCTGAATGAGGTTTCTGAGAGTGTGAAAACTGCAGCCACATGAGGTCTGGGAGAGTACAGCCTCTTCTAGAGCCTTTTCTAGATACGCTCTCATGTTTCCTGTTGCTCTGGAAGATTTTATTCGTCCTAAAAACACAAGAAGCTATTAAAAAACGAAAAAGGTCATCCATGGTTTCTTTAATTTTTCCAAACTATTTCAACCTTTTCAAAAAATGGTCCTGGTGAAACATGGTGGTGGCAGCGTAATGCTGTGGGGAAGCTTTCTGTAGCCATGGCAACAAAAAAAAAACATTGTGTTCTGTTTTTATGATGCCTTAACGCAAAGTACTGATGTAACTTGATGCTTTTTTTTACAGCTTCTTCACACAAACGTTTGAACATGACCTTTGAAGTCTGGTCAAACATTCTTAATTGGATTTTAGCCTGGACTTTAACTAGGCCATTCTAACACAGGATCTAAACTCTGGTAGTGTTTTTATCAGGACTGTCCCGGTTTCGCTCCAACTGTCTTCCCATCAGCTTTACTGCGCTGAAGAAAAGCCTCCTCACAGCATGATGCTGCCACCATTAAAGGTCGGAACGTTTGCCGCTGTTCTTATTGTAGCAGAACTAGACTCCTTAAGGCTTTCATTTAGTCAATCTCCCATAAATGCCAGCATGGCAGGGAGCACGTCTAATAGTTTTCCCCTCAATATGTCTGAGCTGACAATCTCTGCAGCTCCTCCAGAGTCATCAGCCTGTTGGCTGCTTCTCTCCAGGTAGGTTTAAACTCTGTGGGATATTGATTTATAATCCATCCATGTTCATTAGCTGTTCCAGCCGTTGCATTTCCAAATGCAGTTGCAGTTCCCGATTGGTGCC